CATTGATGTTTGCACTCATGGGATTGGATGGTCCACGTTTGTGCATCCTTGTGTACGTCTTGCTCGGTGGGGATGATGAAATCTCCCAATTGTCCGCTACACGCGGAGTGTAGGCACAACAATGGACGTCCTGCAGCTAGGCCACGAACCGAGTGAAGGAGCGCAGAATTCGGTACTCGGAAAATGACAACCGGGCCAGTACGCACTCCGGCATTGCTGCGACGTTGAATTGGGGGGAGGTAGTGCTGGGCTCTAGAAACGGCGTCACGGTCGCAGATTGAAGCACAGCACATCCTGTTTTTCATTCTTGACATGTGTTGGTTTGATACAGTACCGGTGTCTTCCCTGCTGTTCGATAACTAGATGTTTATAAGACTGATGGAGAGTCTTACGCAGTCCGCCATTCGAATGACTCGCGCTGGCCGATGCGCCAGCGCTCATTTCGAGGTGCACAGATTCCGCAAGGAGCTTGCATACGACACTGTAAAGTCTTTCGGAAAAACAGTTTGGGCAAGAAGGGGCTGACCTATGCATAAAATCTATCAGCCCACAAAGGATGCATGGCGTGCCGCCGTAGACCAAGCTGGTTTTAATACAAATGGCGTCAGTTTTGAAGATTTAGGAGTAGGGAGAAAATCGTCAGAGGTGGACTTTCTGACAGTCGGCTCGTGTCGATCAGAGGTGACAGTGACATTCTCAACTGCGACTGCTCCGTTTTTCCAGACCACAATATCATTCATGGACTAAAAGCTCTTGGGTCGAGTCTGACTTCTGATGCGACATCGACCGTGACCTGATGTCGTAAAGTCTTCCCAAGCAGTTTTCTGACGGTAATGCCGACGCGTCCGAATAAGGTCCATCATGCATCCGTCCCGGAAATTTCCTAAATTAGTGGTGTCTTTCTTGGCAATCTGTGCTACCATGATGAGTGGGTTGCACAACATTTACTGCTCATGCCAACTCTGCGCACCTTAATGACAATGGCCCTGCATCAAGTGGCCGACTGAATCTAGCAAACCAACCCATGGTAGTATAGGGCAGCTACGATTAAGGGCTTCTGAAACTGATCGGCCATTTTTTATCTCTCCATTCACCAGCGGGGATTTTCCTTTACCGAAGTAGGAGACAGATTACTTGGTTCGCTGTGAGTGACTATTTATCCTTGTTTGGCCATACTGATCAATGACACCGTTGGTCGGATTCGTCTCAACGTCCTTAGATGAAATGAAGTTCTCACGACAATTGTTTGTTTAGTTAATACTCAAATCCGTATTTGTCCTCGCACATACCTGATTCAACGGGAGTCGGTTTAATAAACCTCCTTTTCTACTGACAGGAGTCGTAGAACAACGGATTGCTCCTGTTAGTTTAACTGCGGGGTTGTTTGACGGGTCTACTGGTGGCATATAGTGTAAGAATGTTAACTGTGGTGTAAGCAGGCTCTCCGTTTTGACGAATAGGCAGCTTCGAATCCTACAGTGGTAATGCCTTCAAGCATGACTCGTCATCGATCTGAAAGGTCGGTTACTTATATGAAGACCACAGTATTAAGACATGGCCAATGTTGACCGCCAACAAGTAAGGCTTAGTCAAACACTCCGGTGCAATCCCGAAACCCTGGAGTAGTATGTCTTAGGGATTTATGGAGACAATTACTTTTGAAACCAAGTACTACCAGAGGCCAGTCCACTATCAAAGCGCACAACACCACCACTGTTTGGCGAGTCACGACTCAACCGAGATCTTGGGCCGCCAGAGGGCCAGAGCAAGGAAGCACGGACTGTCACAGTGCTCCCCGGCTGGACCGGCGGCGGCGTAGCGACATCGGAGTAAATGTTCATATCTAAAAGAACATGAATAATTAGACGGTCAGGAAAATGAGCATGGCGTCCACTACTGGTAATATATACAGGGGGTCATAGGGGGGAGTCAATATGTCTTGTGGCTACAAAGTTGGAGGTTGATGAGGAGGTCGCTACAGTTGGAGGTAACGGATACGGGGGAAGAGGGAGTATACGAGAGGGAGGGATAGAGGGTCGGGGTGGAGCAAGGGATAAGGGACCGCGGCTTTACCAATCAGAACCACTTCCACCAAAACAAGCACTTTGAAGGCGTTCTTTTTAGGGAAAACGTGCCTTATTTTCTGCGATGAAGCCTAAGAAACGAACTTGAGCAGCTCCTATGAAGCTCCGCATCTTCAGGTACAAAGCGGAAGTTTTGTAATAGGAGCTGTAATCTCTAGTCTTTGCTTTATACAAGCCAAAAGTCAGGACGAGCTTCGCGCATGCCACATTGGTTGCAACATGCAGTAAAACATGAGGTAAAAATCCGGTGTTGATCTTCTTCAAGAGCAGCCTATTATGGAAGAAAATAGAACGATTCCATCGATGGAGGAGTGGGAACATGAAGACTAATGTTCCCCGCGGGACCAAAGAACAGTTGGAAAAGTTTTTGCTAGGACAGAAATATCCCCTGGCACACGCTACCACTGTATTCACATGTGATGCAGCATAACGAATGAACAAATGGTAAAGGGCCCGTACTCTCCCTCCCTCTCCCTCAATATGACGGTCTCCCACACAACTGTCAGCTCCAAAGACTTAGAATTCGGATGTGGATTGCAAATAAAGTCTGCAAAACTTCATGCCTTCGCTGAGAGGTATTGGCATTCACAGGAGGGAAGCAAAGGCCCGTTAAAGTGTGTTCTTTTTGCGACCTACACGACACGACACCCCGACTATGGCAACCGCAAAGCCGACTTACCAGGCGAACCACCACAGGCCGCTGGAACGACGGCTGTGGGTCATATTGGGACCACTAATACTGCAGACGCGTCGCACTGTCGTCCGTCATTTGAGCCGCCCAAGCACATGTGAAGGTTCGAAAAGCAGACAGTGTTGACACAGCCATACATACTAAATAAGACGTCGTGTGTGTCCGCTTGTTCACAACGCTTTCAAAGCTATGCAAACCGATCGTTGGACAGACGACGTGTCTACGGCTTACGTGACCACTTTATCTGTTATTCTCGAAAAGGACCATCTGCCGTTCAAATTATCGTATACGTTTGAACTGCAGTACCATGAGGGCGACCTTCACAGGGCCAACTTTGTACACTTCCTTAACTCCAATACTGCTTTAACTGTAGGCATGCATTAACACAACAGTAATTTCTTTTATCCACGTGTTCCAGAGAGTGTTGCCGCCCTTTTCCCAGTCGGAATTCGAATTCAGGCACTTCGGAAATCATATCCGAAATTGCTTTAAAAGTTACATTTAAAAACATCCAACGCGGCCTGAAAGGCTTTCTACAAAAGTTGATTATCCAACCAGTTGAAAATATCCCAATCTTCAATTTATGGGAACTCAGAGCAAACCAGACTCGTCCACTGATGGTAGTAAAGCGCAGTGTGCAACCATCTACCAGAAGGCAGAGCACGCAGTTGCCCAAATATTGAGGACGTAACTGGGGAAGACAGTAAACACTAGAACGGCGATTGTTTCGGGTCTGTCCATACTCTCACCAGTCAGATGAAGTAGTCCAATATTTGAGTATCCAATCGTTCGCGACTCCTTGTCATCAAACGGTTCATCTAGTTAACTCGTAGACGACAATTCAATGGATGCGTGCACTTTTTGCAACTATGCATATACATGCTAGTTCTGTTTTGTCTTTAAGTTCTTCCGGATAGTCGTTGAACGAAAAGTAGTCAGTAACGTAGAATGAACAGGAACTAAGACGACAGAAACAGAGATTGCCCTTTCCGCCTTGTTGGCCGTCATTAAACATTTGTACTGCAACCCCGGTTGAGAAGGACTTGGAAGTTGTGTTACATGCGGTGCATGTGGTGTCTATTTCGCGTAAATAACGGACCCACTGTCGTTAAGAGCGATGCCCACTGTGTGCCCTCTATGCTGCGGACACAGGGACGGTGACTGGCATACGAGTTAGTTTATAGTGATGTTCGACTTGTGCACCACTTGCCGCCCTCCCCCATCTGGGCCCGGTGTAAAGACAGAGCCAAGAAAACGGCAGGCGGGATCGGGCGCGGCGACTGGCAGGGTTAATACGTCTGTCTGCGCATGTCACACGCCTGGTCCACGCACAATTAACTGGGTTTTCACACAAACCAGGGGGGGGGGTGGCTCGAATCTCCTCTGAGTGGGAGTGCCATATAAGCCCCTTTAAGAGGGGGCCAGCGCAACCTGAATCTCAGTCCACCAGTTGGCCACTCCACACAAACACACGCCGGGCTGACTGTGAGGTCTGAGTTGCATTGCCAAATGGCAACCTTTTAAGTCACGGCTTTTAGGGCACAGTGACAGCTTCAGGGGGTTCAGATTGTTTGTATTGAGGAATATGCGTTGAGAGTCGATCTAACTCTCTCTCTTCCCTCTCCAGTACACCAGTCGACTGTCCGACCCGCCCAATCAACTGATGATGAGATTGGGAGAGATGGCTAACGGAGCTAAAAAATCTGCTTTTGTCTCTGATGATGGGTTCGAGCAGGAATCCGAAACGTCAGGCGAATAAAGCTCTTGTCCCAGCGATCGTGTCTCCTTCTTCAAAAGCTAAAACCAGTCCATCTGCGTGTGCCGTACACACGGCCTGGCACCTTGCACGACGCGTTACTATTTCAAACGAAGGGTTGGACTGCTCGGATTCCACAAATGGGACCATATGGAGAGCGGGTCGAGGATCATACTTCCCACATAAGTGGGGGATACTTGTTCTGAACCTGGGGTGGGTAATACGAGACGAGTTCGTCTGTGGTGTATGTGGTGGTGGTTGCGGCGGCGGGTGCTTAATGGTGGGGTTTGGTTTGCGACGTTTAACCGCAGATTGCCATGGAGGCGCATGTGGTCGAGCAGGTCCGTGTGGTAGTTCAATGTGTGCGGGCGGTGTGGACAGTCTGGGCGATGTCGACGGGTTTACGGCAGTGCTTCCGACACTGCTTTATCGGCCTCACTGCGATAGATTCGCAGGTGTCCGAGCAAGCCTATGCGTGACGTGCATGTGCATTGGCAGTATAGAAAGTATGGGCTCGTAGCTGCTGAGTTGGTTGCAGTGGTGATTCTGATAGTGGTGGAAATGCTGATGGTGGGGATTGGGCGGAGCTAGAGATGGGAGAGTTGCCGGGCATGTATGATGGGTTTGGCATGTCGAGATTGCAGTGAACTCTGCTTTCGTAGATACTCATGTGGCCGGATAGGTCCATACGGTGAGTGCATTTGCGAGGGCAGTATGGGCAACTCAGTCGGAAGCGGCGGGTGTATGCCGAGGCTCGGGGCACTGAGTCGCCGGTCTTAGTGTGATGAACTCGCAAGGTACCGAACAAATCGGAAGAAGAAGAAGAAGAAGAAGAAGAAGAAGAAGAAGAAGAAGAAGAAGAAGAAGAAGCGATCGTTGGTGCTTGTTCCAGCGATCGCTTCTTCTTCTTCTTCTTCTTCTTCTTCTTCTTCTTCTCCTTCTTCTTCTTCTTCCTCTTCTTCTTCTTCTTCATCAGACAGTTAGACGGTTGAGTAATCGTCGGGTCAAGAATCAGCAATGGTGGTGAGTCACGACAGTTAACGACCTGAGTATGGACTAACGAGCAATAATTTTATGAAGGCAGCTGCTGCTTATTATGCTAGGCATGTGGCCGCACATAATTATGCTGTATAAATACTGTGATCCATGTGCCTCCATGAACCTTATCGGCGACTGTCTCTGATGACGGGTTCGAGAGAAAATTCGAGACGTAACGCCAATAAAATTATTGCTTCAGCAATCGCATCTTCATCCGTACAGCTCAGTATCAATAGAGGTTGAGTGAGAAGAACAAAGACTGGACCGAAAATTTCCGGATAATTTACCAACTATAGTCGGGCATAAGTTGTGTGTACAGGCATACACTTAAGATACCGTATTCGCACATAGCATTTGTAAACTTAGCACACAAGGGCGGGTTAAAATTAAATTTTAAACGTGAACAAGAAACATATTTGTGGTAGGAAGGTGTTAAGTCTAAGAATAACAGGAGCGGAAAGTCACAATACTTGCAAAAAGTCATACTTTAGACAGAGTGATTATCACATAGACAGAAAACAACACTCGCTCAGGTCAGGTGGCGTTTGTTTTTGAGTTCTGAACAGGGGAATCTGCTAATAACTGGTACCGCTTTTATTTGCACCTCGGTTGTGCTCACCTTCATCGCTCTCTGCCGAGACGCCTCTGTGTCAACAAACGAAATTTACAATTGTGCCTCACGCCAATCACCATGAGCGATGTTCAAAGGAAGCTGTTTTTCCGAAGCAAGGCGCCCGGCATCCAGTGGAAATACTACTACTTCCATACTACCTGAGAGAGACACCCGCATTCGCTCCTCCTTTAGAACGAAGCTGTTCTTCAAGGTGCCTCCGCAGCTCGCCGGGCAAATAGTTTGTCAAATAAACTGTTTGCAGATAAATGAAATAGCACAACCCAACAAGCACTTCTAAATCTGCGAATGAAGAGTCAAAATAATCCTCTAGGGAGTATGCTGTGCGTTGTCTTGCAGTTCTCCAGACGTCTCGGATTTGTTGTGCGGAGCGATATTTCGACCATTAGTTCTAGAAGGAATCTCACATCAGGGATAGAAGAAATTTAAATGAATTATTTACTGAGATTGAATACAAAGAAGTCGTTTGAGGGAATCCTATTGCCATTTCTGCTAGCTTCCACAAGGGGATTTATCACATATTCCCCGACTGTGGATGACGACCACCTAAGTGGACGACCTCCTCAGAAAATTTGTCGGACACGTTTTTCTTCTTCTTCTTCTTCTTCTTCTTCTCAGCTGTCTAGGTTGGGTCCTAAATATTTTACGGGGTAACTCCAGCCCAACTAGGCGAAATTGAGCTGTTTTCACGTCCTCTTTGAAGTAACCTAGTTTCTATGGACCCATGATTGAACATTAACCAATTTTCTCGAAATAAGCGCATCAAGAAGACTGAATGTCAAGGGTGGTTTCGAGAATATTCTACGACGCGAAGGCAGGAACGCTAAGAATCACAAGCTTGACGTAAATTATGTCGTTCCCGCGAACTAACGAACTACGGCTTACTAACCTCATAAACGGAGAGAGGTAAGGAAGGCCAGTAAGTGAATAAAGTTAATATTCAAAATGTGCAACGACCTGACCAGAGAGCATGCAAGCGGCGCGAAGCTTACAAGCGGCGGAGTATTCGTCACGTTAAAACAAATGCTACAGTAAAACAAGCGTGACAAGATTGTCAAAGGTCAAGTAGTCAAGTACTTCAGCACAAGCTCGTGTAATTACAGAACGCTGTTCACCAATTCGATGTAGAATAGGTTTTCGATATGCCTTCTTAGATATATTCGAACTGCTTGTAACACCGAGGAGGCGTAACTTTTGTTGTGCAAAATATCAGTATGCAGAATCACTATAACGACGTGTATGAAGAACTGCCGCTGACTGATTAGACGTTTATTATAATGGCAATAGTTCTTGAGAGGAGTGAAATGCCTCTCGGAACAGCAATTTACTGTTATAGAAAATCGCCATTCTGCATTGTTGGGTTAGACCGTGAAGTTGAAAAACGCCCCGCGTGAACACTTCCGAAAGGCCTTTGTGGGGATTGTGCACGCAAGAAGGGTATATACTATTTTCTTGTTATAGCTGAAAGCCCCTTGTTGGTAGGTAGAGTGGTGGCTCAATAACCTTTTCTACTTTTCCTCCTAGTCTTCAATTCTATCAGATTGAAAATATAAGCGGATCTACAGTAGGCAGTATGTTATTGCCGACAAAGACAAGGGAGACTGGAATGGCCACTTCTGGCTTATTAGTCGTTGTCAACCAGTCATACCCAACCCCGAAATGTGAAACACTCGAAGCTCGAACTCGCGACCGGCTAGTTAGAAGTCCACGCCTCTAACCACGCCTCTTTGTCGGTAATAACATACTGCCTACTGTATATCATGCGCCGCTGTGCAGCTGCTGGTTGGGCTCGAGAGAGAGCCCGAAAGGCACAACGGAACGAGTGGGTTCCGTAAGAACGATCGGTGATCGTCCCCTACCATTAGCGGATCTGTGTGCAGCTAAGATGCATGAGCTCTTCTAGACGGCAGATTGGTTAGATTCGTTACTTTGAGGGAACACGAATTTTTAACTAGTTGAGACAGGCCCAGATTTTCGTGTTTTTATGGTCTCCTTTGAACTATTCCAACCCCCATGGTTTCTCTGTACTCTGAACGCAATTTAACGTTGCCAGTAGGGCGCTGAAAGGCTCATACCTATTTCTCTTAATAAATTTCACTGAACTGACTCTACATTTGCCTTGTCCACTAGTCGTAGAGGTCAGTGACCTGATTACAAATGATTTGGATCCTCGTGGGACTTAGGTCGTGCTAAGCTGTCTATAATGACAACTGGCACCTGTGAGGGGCGTTTTCCTACTCGTCCTAACTGGAGGGCATAATGGGGGACAAGCTTACTGTGCTCTTGATCTAGAGCACAGGCGGGCAGGCAGAAATCGGATTTTGGGAATCATGACCGGCAAAGACAAGGGACACCGGAATGACCATTTCTGATTTATTTACTGTCAACAGCCAGTCACCCTCCAACCACAGGCGCTGGCGCACCAGCATTGGAACCCGGGTCCGGTAATTCACAAAACGTTTAAGTCGAACACTCTCTCCATTTGAACTATCGACCTTAACTGAATACGGAAAACAGGCCGAAGATGCTCAGTCCCGTTTATATGTCTTTGCCGGCAGTACATCTGAAGAAGGACAACTCTTTTAGAATTATGTAGGAACGGTGCACGGAGGTTGGGTCGCCCCACATGAGTCAGCAGAATTCTGCTCAGTGCAAGCGACCACAGGGAAGGTGGACTGACCTGAACACGGCGTGTCTTTTATAGCTGCCAATGTGACCACGATTCAGTAGACTGGTCCGCGATATTTAATTCCAACAAGTTGATTTTCTTATGCCTTTACTGGTGCGGATACAGCTGTTACGCTTTAAATACCGTTCTTTCTGAGTTGAAATCATAGCATACTGCATATGAAACCAACATGCCCAAATCTGGCATTTGAAGGAGACAGTAGCTGTACAGACTTCGGATGAGGAGTACAGAAGAGTAGAGCTGTCTATGAGGGACATGGGCTGAAATTTGAAAAACAATTGGCCGGAATCTCCAAGCATGTCATCAACTAGAAGATAATGCTTGATACTGACGGCAGTGCTGGCATTAACGACCCTTAAGCCGATTCAGGCGTCGAGAGCCTTTGCAATCGTCAAATTTAATCTTTCTAGCCCGGAGATCTACTCCTTCATGGTGCATTCCTTTCATGATTTCCTGCTATTTTCGCAAAATTAAGAACTTTTCCCCGAAATCACTGACAAAGGGTTACGTGTTACATGAATTTTGAGGCGATCCACCTCTTATTGATATTCAACATTTGACGGGTCAGATGTTCGGACACTAAAGAGTTAACTAAGCCCTCTAGGCTTTAAAAAAGAGCCCACAAACAATGAGAAGTGAGCAACCGTCATTAATAAATGTACATGCAGGAAGTGTGCTGCTCAGTAACGCCAGACCACAGATCCCCTCTTATCCTCGATTCCATACTAGAAGAACTGGAAAGTTTGGCGCTGGAACACCAGCCAGTTTCGAAAGGCCGAGCCATGTATGATGCACATTTCTGTTACTACAACGTGTGCTTATTTGAATAACTGTTTTTTTTTAAATTGTCATCTAGGCATTAGAAGATTTTAAAGATGAATCGATAAATTCTTGAGTTCAGCTAGTTGTGAACATCTGGGATACCTCCCTATATGTGCCCTGGTCTCAGGGATCAAACCCACCCACATGACTTCTGGGGGGGGGGGACACTGGTATCCTCCATTTCAATGGTAACCATTTCGTCTGCAGAGGCGGCATGGACCAACATTGTACCAGAGAGGATACAGTGGTGACTTGCGCGTGGATAGTTTATAGTAAACCAGAGTTAAAGGGCATATGCGACTCTCTTGCCACACACACCATGTCCCAATGCCAATTCAGAGTCGGTGGGTGCGGACACATTGGTTAATGAGGTTGAAGTTACGTCTTTGTCCTAAACTCCACAAGAACAGGGACTTCAATGAAAAATGAGGTCTCTAACCTTGCCATTAAGGTCACATAAGGGGAGAGATGTTGTAGTCTGGCCTTCAGTCCTGAGTACGATCGAGGCAATTGTTATTAGCTGACCATCTGCCAGTCACTTGCTACTAGTGAGCCTGGATGATTTACAGATATTTGACTTCTTACAGTGGGTACAGTAAGCGCCAGATCTGAAGTGCGTCGACGTGTCTGTCTCTTACCTCTCCAATTTCTAATAGCCTGTTTACGTGGGCCGAATGGAGATTTGGTTAGGCTCAGTTGTTCACGTAACTTGAAGCCTCTGTCCAGCGTTTGTCACATGCACAAAGTCAGAGAGTAGAGCCCATAATGTCTGTCAACCTTATCGACTCCTCAGTGAAAACTAGCTCTGTTGTCTGGTGATGGTGAAGGTGAACAGACGGCCACGAACTCATACTTCTGATGACCCACAACCCTGGCTCCACCCGTCGACCGTGCGCATCGGTTTGGAATCCAGTGACAAGTGTTGGTCTGCGTTAATACCAACTGAATGGAAATGCTAAGTAACCCCAAAACAGTTGCTGTCTCAGTAGCCACTCTCTTTGTCGGTTAAGATCTAACAGAAGCCACGCTTATGGAATGGTCAAAAGGACTTTCGGTACCTTTTTAGGAGGAAACGGCTCAGAATCATGCCGCAATTTCCTGCGTACTTGTTTTTGGGACAGTTCGCAGGACTTACCTCAAATTTGAGAAGCCTTTGTGTACAGAACAGACAAAGTTCTCTAAAAACGCGTTGCACACAAGCTGATTTGCCTATGGCCACGAATGAGCACGTCCTGCCGGAAGTTCCGGTGGACTTAGCGCAAATTAGGTCAGCTTGTTACTTGCATGCAACGGGGAGCGCCAAGGTGGGACAGCCTGCGTCGGACGCGCTAAACCCCCTTCCCCTCGAAATTGCATGGGAAGATCACGTCCTTACTGGACATAGTGCATTGACTCATAAACTTGCCTTGGGGAGAAAACATTAATTATTTGCTCCGCGGTCGGACATGAGAATATGGCCGCCCAGTGCTACAGGTGGTAAAGTATGCTTGCGCTGAATTACAGAGAGCTCGTACTTCCGTACCTAAACGTTAACCCTGACCCAAGCGCTTACCATAACGCTGAAACCAAACCTCGTAAACCTAACCGCAAACCCAAGCCCCCTGGGATTTTGCATAAAGTCGCCTCTAATACGGGAGAGTCCATATTCGTATGTCGAAACTGCTCAGCTTTATTAAGACACGGAGTTAGGAGATTGCTTACGTGGGGAATGACTACGGGAGCTACTGCTATAATTTATTATAAATGTATACTTTTATTTAATTGTACACCCGTACAGAAAACTACTGAAGTGGCCACGGGTTGTCATTAGGGGCTGCGTTAACAAATAACTTTATAGGAATTTTTCGAAAGGCTTCAAATGAGAGAACCTATCCATGCCCTGCGCAGTTACATCCGTTTGCTGACGACATCTTTGGCGTGCGAGACTGAATGGAGTGGCCCAGAGGCGGAATATTAGACACTGTTTCATGCAGTTTAAGAGCGATCATAATCAATAATTCGTTCTGGTTTTCGGACGTGCTACCAACCCGAATAATGGGTAGTTCGGTTCATAAAAATGCTCACTGCAAGAAATCATGAGCTGGGTGCTAGCATGAATCTAACAAGTACGTCCTTCTGAGCCAAAAACAACAATGGGAAACGAGTCCGTTCTTCTAATACTTCAGGAGAGGAGCGGACTAGAATAGGAAGTCTCTTTCCTAACAATGGACACTAGGAGCGTTACACTCCAAAGAGCGTATTTGGACGCCAGCCCAAAATTGAGATATTAATGGTTGAAAAGGCGGATCAATTTATTCAATTTCCAGTTTTTCCAGTTCTGAAATTCTAGACAGCGAACACTGGTTTTAGAGTTAGGGCTGCGTGCTGCCAACTGCTTCTTTCCCTGAGAAACCACTTGTTTTGAGCGCACTTGTTGGAATTCAACTTCTTAAAAATAAGCCTGATTACATGGGCGGTAAACATTTTATTTTTAAGGAACCACATTTCGGACATGGCGGTAATTATGTTTTGTCTAAAGATTTTTTTCCACCATCCGTTGAATAATTGACAAATTTGGAGCTGAAAGGTTGGAAACCACGATTGTAACATAATTCCGAAATTAAAATTTTGCAGTTTTCTAACTGGTGGTGTGCAGCATATTTTAGTGTCGTACACATTGTAACATCAAAGGCTACGAAAATATTCAACAAGACTGATAGAAAAATTAGGCGCATATAGGCCAGGGATCTCATTAGTTAGGAGTATAAGAAACTATGCGTTGATCAACAGTACTCTGTTTTAAGCTTATTTTTTGCTGATAAGGGGTTACCGAGAAAGACAAGGGAGACCGGGATGGCCAGCTGTGGCGACGGGTGTGCACGTCCCGTAACCTGCTCGGTGAAAGCTCCTCCCACTCTATTTTTTGCTGTTTTTACCAAAATGTTGTTTTTCCCCGTTAACCCAATTCCCGCCAACATGCCTATGTGAACATTCTTGTTCTTACCAAAAGAATTCCAACGGTTTACTCGATTTTCTCTGTAAACATTCCACGCCGGATATTTGCATTGGGGGACCAAGCTTGTTGTTGATTAAGAACACTGACGGTGGAGGTCGCATTAAAATATGCTGGCTAGGATATGGAATATCGCCTAGTCCACTGTGGTGACGCACGCTTTTACCGGATTTCACGTCATATTTAGCAAAGATGGAACCGCATAACTTAAATACCAACCTGGACATAAATTTAGAACGTTTATTGAAACCTTGTACAACGGCGTCCAGAGACATATTTCAACCCTCTAAACACAGGAGAGATTTGAGGTTTTTATTGCCATTTAAGAATGGGTACCCTTGGGTGTGTGCAAAAAATCGCTAAATCTGGGCTGAGTACCAATGAAAGCAACAAAGGTCACATAGGATATTTGCGGTATAGACTTTCTCTTTAAAAACGGATAAGTTGATTGGCTTCCTGCTTAGGACAGTGACAAGGTGGACACTGGAAGAGTGATTGGGAAGAAGTGTAAAACCGTTTCGACCCTATTGTCATTAGTGGCTCACTTCACGATCCCCAAGCAAACTGTAAGGTTTCACTCGGGTCCTCGTTAAGAATGAACAGGATCCTTGCTGTTATTTTCAAAGCCTATAGGCAACCAAGGCAACAGTGAGGTAGGTCACCAGTTTGCCAGTTCGACTTGCGGTGGCTGACACTGGCCACCTTTTGACAACAGTCCCCTTTCTGCTCCACGATCAACTCCGATTTCTATCTCCCTTCGAACACCCTGATTTAGTTCGGTTGAACGTAAAGCATTTTATCATGCCTGCGCCTGAAGCAGCCACACGCAAGTGTCCGTTCGTCGAACACGACTGGATAGGCGGTGGTGAGTCGTGCGTAAATGGGGTTGTGGTCGGGTGCTAGCGTTACATCAATCTTTCACTCGTCTCTACACCCAGCGTGCTCCATTCACGTGACTAGGTCACGCCTAGCAGCAATGGGTTCAATGAGCATGGTGACTGATCGGGGATTTATCCCTGCCTCATGCATGACGCTCGCCGCCCAATCCTCTAACGAATACCAATCAGACCTCACTCGGGCACTTGGTTAACTCTAAAATGTTTTCCACCTTTTGGGCCTGACGAAATGAGGTCAGGATACACAAAGGGTATGAGCAGAAAATAAATTACTGTTTACAAATGTCTTCTGTCTTGTATTCAGGCTGGGGAGAGTGTCGCTGGCCTGAGCACAGTTTATCGATAGCTCGTCTGTCGTAAATCACAGGGACCAACAATGTCCCGAGGGTGTAGTGGTGATTTGCGCGTGAGTTGGCTTATGGGAGGAGGAGTACACGGCAACTGCCTCACTTTTTCTCTCCACACCAGCCAGGCTTCAATGAAAGGACGGGGTAAAGACTAGCGAAAGTGAGTTTGTATGCTGCGGCAAGCAGACATTCGTCTCCTATCTCTCGCATGCCAAAAAGATATTAGTACATAATTCGGCATGAACCGGATTTCATCAATCCGTCTTTCTCAGGGTTGCGAGTTACCTTAAAGGCCACCTCAAGACGGGGTCAGTGCAACCTGACTCTCAGTCCGGAGTAGAACCGAGTAACTAGTATTCATGAAGACCTGCGGCAAATTACCGCAGACCTGACCTCATGACCACACACTCCATCAATACGTGCACCACGCATAAACACCACCAACTCCTCACATCATCAGCACCTCTGACATAAATGGAAAGTGCCCCTCTCGACGCCTTTCTCTATGCGGCTGCTCTGCTGATTGTGATATCCGGGCGTTCTATCCCCTGCGTGTGAAATCCTAATGTGTGCGGATGGCGGTCAGGTCGCGCGCGTGTGTGTGTGTATCGGCCTGGTCGGTCACTTGCGAATCCATCGCACAGAGACTGAAGAACCAATGCCTGAAGCCCAAACCTACACACGCCGCACCTGCCTTCACTGCCCACACTGCCCTTGCACTTTAATACACCGCATGGGCTTACTCGGTCACATGCGCATCCGCGAGAGCGGAATTGACCGCACCCCCGACACACCCACTACATCCAACACACCCATCACGCCCAACCCCACCCTCACTCCGTCGCCCCGTGCGCCCACCACCATCAACACCACCACCGCCGCCGCCGCCGCCGCCGCCGCCGCCACCACCACCACCACCACCACCACCCCCACCACCACCACCACCGTAACCGAAGCCGACACAACCGACCTCTCATGCCCACGCAAGTTCACCTCACGCATTGGCCTAGTCGGTCACTTACGAATCCATCGTCCAGAAACTGGCGAACCAGGGCCTGAAGCACCCACCTACACTCGCCGCAACCGCCTTCACTGTCCACACTGCTCTCGCACATGAATGCACCGCATGGGTCTATTCGGCCACATGCACATCCGCGAAAACCTGCGGTAGACAACCGCCGACTGGACCACACAATCACACCCTCCTTCCCTCAGCACCATCTCACCACACATCAACATCACCCGCCGCAAGCACTCAAGTGTCACCTTCCACGCAAGTGGGAAGTGTGCGTCTCGGCTCGGTCTCCATGTGGCTTCGGTTGCATGGGTGACTCGAGCCTGCGACTATCTCGACGCGTCGAGCTCCGTGGATAGGAAGGCTAATGATTGACGTCCCAACTCAGTCCACGCAGTCCGTTGAGTTGTGTGTGTTGTGTGAAGTGGTGGACTGGTGGGTTGGAGGCCGTGCCGATACAGCGACTTCCATGGCACTCTCACGCATGTGGGAGATATGCCGCTCAACCCCCGTTGTGTGAAATCCTGGTATTTGTGTTTGGGGGGCCAGGTCGTGCATGCGGCGCGCGCAGAAATGGTCACTAGGCCATGCCAACGACCGTGCCCACTCCCCGCTGCAGTCAACTGACTGGCGCGGACAGTGGCTGAGGTTTGGCAATGGGAAGGGAGAGTGAGGTTGACGACTCAGCGCATTTTTCTCACTGTAAACAATCTGACGCTCTTGAAGCTATCACGGTGCGTTAAAAGCTGTGGCTTGGAAGGTTGCCAACTGACGGGATAAGTCCACGGCACTACCACTCCGTGGGATCTGAGTTACACCTTCTTTTCGGTCGTAGTACGTAAAATTCTGATCAGTTTGCGCTGTGGACCAGGAAGGCGTGGTGCGGGTTTTCCTCGTGTCAGGCACATGCGTCCTCTCCCGTCTCCAGTTTTCTTGACTCTCTTTTGACGCAGAGCACAAGCGGGGGAGGAGAGAGTGCTTCAAATGTCCACTATCATTATAAACTACATCACGTGGAAGTCACCGTCCTTTTTCTCGCCTCGTTTTGGAGCATACGGTGGACATAATCGAAATCAACTGTCATCTGACGCGACACTCAGTCTTCGCCTAATGCCCGCCTCAAACTTATCTAGCCCCCGTTTAGATCTACCGAAAAAGCGCAACTGTCTTTGGCGGCTCAACTTGATTTGACAAATACATGTAGAAGGCATGAGTAAATCATATAAGCGGGTACGCCGTTACGAAAGAGTGCTGATCATTTGAAGCAAACAACATTGTTTCCAAGGCCGGTCTTGGGACTATGCATTTTCCTGATCGGTAGATTTCCAATCAGACAGGAAATCATGAAGTAAAAAGACCAGTAGAAGTTCTGCGAATATTCCCATGTTACATTTGAAAAGTCAAGTTGGCAAATACATATTTTTGGTAACTAATCATCAGGCCAGTACAGCTACATATATATTGAAAATATGAGGCTTTGACAGGGTTTGTAAGTGTCTTAGAGGTTATTAACACTCATCGTTCCTACGCCACCCGCGCGACGAGGTCGGCCTATTGTGATAATTGGAACATGGGGATCACATAGGCTGTGAGTGATGTTTTTAAGCCGAGTACGTGGAGTACAGATCACTGTAGTCAGGGGGTTGGTGCGACATGATATAGCTATCTGGGGTCGGCGTTTGCCATGGAAGACAGAGCGCCTGTGTCAACGTCCTCTGACAGCATAGCGCTGAATTCGCTAGCCCTATAGCCACTGCTTCGGCTGTACCTAGCACCCGTTGGCGTAGGCCTCTGGAGAAGTTGCTGCTATCCGGTAGACAACCTGAACGGCTTCATTGGCATCGACTCGGTGATTCGTGTCAAGCAAAGTGCGTGACCGATCTCATGAAATGTTGGCCGAAATCCTGAAATGCGTTTGCGATTAGGAAAGATTACTTAGGTGGGGTTGTAATATTGATTAGCATTCAGCGTAATTCTATAGCATTTCGGACTCGCCAGGGTGTCCGTTTTTGGCTGCACTCCTTTTTGACCCTCTGCAGAAAAGGCGGAGGAGGGGAGAATTTGGGAAACATACGCGTAAATTCGCCGCGGGAAAGCGCTCGTGATAGCTGTCTTTAGGGATAGTCTAACTAGTTCGTTTGCTGCGTCCTCTAGAAAAGGCAGTCTTATAAACAAGTTTTTCTTTTCTGCAGTTGTCATGGTAGACTTTGCAGAAACATTTTAGGAGTTTAAATGCTGCTGGGCCCTTCAGCTGGCTGTCTCTCTGGCCGAAGGAGCAAGCATACCCCTTCACAAAATGTGTGGCAGTCGCAGTATGTTCTACTCCTCTCAAACCAAGCACAGTTTCAAAGTGTAGGAGACATTTTAGCAACTGGAAGGCACAAACACACAAGTAGCACTTTTGTTCATTGGCTTATGGCCTATTTGGGTAAGGTAAGTTGCGGGTGTGCAAAAGGTCCTCATGCATCCTTTAACGACTAGATCGATCTCTGAGCCAAGTGTGAAAAGCAACCTACAGGTCAGGATCGGAGGGTAGGCTTGACGGGTGGGCGGCGCTCACGTTTATAATCACCACCATGGCTGTCCGACGAAAGGATAGATCTTGCCTACTTGGACGAAGGTTTGGAGGGTAGCCATAACCCTAGTCAAGACAAAATCAACGATAATTAACATTTTTGGCCACGACCGACGAGGCAATGGGCCCGTGACTCAGTGTTAGAGTGCTGGGTTTAGAACGCTTGCTGACTAGAGCTTCTGGGTCAGAATCCTATGTTATCCAAACCCGGCGTTGGGCATGACCGGCGACGGTTAATAAACCAGAAATAGCTATCCCGTCCACCTTGCCGGGGTTCCTTCCCGCCGACGGTCCCAAGGGAGTGGCGTTTGCAGGTTTATCGTGATTTTTGGGGGCAATACAGACGGTCTAGTTTCGCCTTGCAGTTCCAGTCTAGGGACCTTGAAGGTGACCGCATAGCAACCAGTGAACAGTTATAAAAAGCTGTTAAGACGAAGACAAGCAGAAGAGAGTGATGTAAAGCACTTTCGCGTGATGTTGAATATTCCCGATCCCAGCCGTGACTCAAGCCGTAGGACTTTTGACTAAGAGGCTCCGGATTCAGGCCTTGAGTCTTTACAAACCGAGGCTGAGGCAGGTCGAGCTAGGGACAGCAAATATGCCTGAAACCGTGGTTACCATCGTCCTTGTCCTTGTACGCAATACGTTTCGGTATTGACCGTCTGCCGAGTGATAATAAACCCGCACCAGGATTGGAAAGTAACAGTCAGACAAGGGGGGGGGTGTTGATAACTTTCAGAGAGTTTTAATTTTTACTAGTCTGCAATTAACTCACCGGTGAACCTAACCACGGTCCGACGCGGAGTCAGGGGTGTGACCAGTCTCCCTTAGGACATGCCAGTTGGCCATATTTTTACTGCCTGCTCACTGAGCTTCGGTCTTCAGATGCTTTTTGTATGAAATTTGTGCTTCAGAACCATACTTAAAGGATCCAAATTTTCACTGCTTTCTCGGACATACGTAAATGTCATTTAAAGAGGCTCTGGACAATACAGGGCTTGGGATGCCAGTTAGGGCATTCGCCAATTGTTTAAAAACAGAGTTGCAATCATCTGGGGCTCATAAGTGGAAATAGAAGTCTAATTCTGTTTATACTAGAAAAGAGTGCACACAACCATCGGCGTCTAGTTATGCCCGAATCCTAGGAAAGGAAAACCTAGGATCTGAAAAGGAATCGTTTACAGACGCAATTCACCGCTCTAGAGGATAATACACAGACCCCACTCTGGGGCCTGCCACTCGAAATAAATTTCATTAAAGTCGAGTTCCCCGAGAAACCCTAAAAGGCCAGGCGTGGTTTGTTTCACAGATGGGAAAACTCGGGGTTTGTCATAAAAAAAACCAATTCTTTTTAACCTAAGAAATTGGACCCCGGACACATAGCGTTTCTCTTCGAACCTCTGCCCTCCTCTATAGGCCCTGGACCCTAGACATGACCGGTTGATGACGGTCTGTCAGTCAGAAATGGCCACTCCCTGAGTGGTTCACTTACTGTAGTGGTTTCCTTCTGGCACAACATATTTTAGAGCCAGCCGTTTCTCGTGAGGTGCAACAATTCTATGATAAGAGCAGATTTTCCAGGGTCAAAGGGAGCTCGGATGAGCAGTACCTACCCGTGGGCTTCATACTGTTATCCGTCAAATACGCCTAGTCCAATTAAGTCTGCCAACTTTCACTGACGATCGAATCTCAAGTACTTTGGACTGGTGTTCTAGTTGTTACCTCACACTAAATGGATACCATTTCCGCCTGGAGTGAACAGTTCTTGCCCCCAAAACGCAGTAGACCACCCACCTTAACGTTATCCATACGGCCTCGAGCCCAGTTAGTTTAGCTTGGGGGGTTTTCACCCCATATCGAGGCCTGCCACATGTACGCGTGGGCAGCGTGTGCATAGAGTCATGTGACTGTGGATCCCCTAACAAATTTCAAGTTCTCACACAAGAAAGCCCCAACACGCACCCACGAGGATGTACTTTTACCTAACTGCGCAAATGATGAAGGCAGTGGACCCGTTTGCTGGGCTGTTTTATTTCTCACGTCAGACACCTTGTGAACCAAAAATAAGTCAGCCATGAGTCGCCCGCCCGACGGCATCGCATGAATTCTGCCTCTAGCATAGATTCAATGGCGACGGTGTGGTTACCTCAGATAGTAACATTATCATACTACATTATCACACTAGTCGTGAAGTGGCGACGAAACTCAGTTACGAAATGTAAAGGTATGAAACACGGGAGGGCAGAATCATAACTGTGCAGAAAACAGTCAGAATGTTTGGACATAAAGGATTCGAAGTCTACTTCTCCATGTTTAGGTGGAAGGATTCCAGCCTGGGAGTTGGCGAGAATGACAACACAACGGGGTCCACCCTGCCATGTCACGCGGTTTTGGGGGTATGTTTGCAAATCATACTGCTTGACTGAAACTATCTCCCACGCTCAACGGCAGCAGATATGGGAGGGGAGAATGGGGGATCGCAAACACTAGAATAACCCTTCTTAGCGCAGTGATGTCGAAGGTTTAA